GATGGTGGTGGTGGTGGTGGTGATGATGATAATGAGGAGGAGGATGATGCTGATGAGGATGATGCTGATGATAATGATGATGATGATGATGATGATGATGATGATGATGATGATGATGATGATGATGATGATGATGATGATGATGATGATGATGATGATGTGATGATGATGATGATGATGATGATGATGATGATGATGATGATGATGATGATGATGATGATGATGATGATGGATGATGATGATGATGATGATGATGAGGAGGAGGAGGAGGAGGAGGAGGAGATTAGGAGGAGGAGGAGGAGGAGGAGGAGGAGGAGGAGGAGGAGGATCGCACACCACTGCGGGGAAAGAGAGAGAGGTTCAGTCCGACAAATGCACAGGGGGGCCCCATCCGCGGAGACGTTGTTGTCTCCCTGGCAGGCCACCGCGCCAGCCAGGGGCCAGCGACAGGCCCCCCCCCCCCCAAGGCTGGCAGCGTAAACATCGGGCTCTGCACCGTGCACATCGGTACCGTCGCGGTCCAAGCGCTCTCCAAGGGCCATGGCTTCGGCTTCACTGAGCCCAAAGGCCTGGAGGCAGTCGGCCAAGCCGACAGAAGGAACTCGGCCCTCGACGGGCCCTGGAACACATCCTCTTTGCCGGGCTCCTGGGGCCTTCTCGAAACCCCCAGCCAGCTCCCGAGCCTCGCTCCCAGGAGTCTTCCAGGAGCCCAGCTCAAGAGGTCTGATGGGGTGCTTCCCCTTGATCACAGCTCTGGGGTTCTTCCTGTCAGGGTCCGCAAGGGCATGCTGGGAGCCCAGGCAAGCCTTGCGGAGCCCTCTGGAGCCCTGCGAGACAGTAGCATAGCCTCAGCAGGTCGAGCAAAAAAGGATAGGCGGCTGGCCTTCTGCAGTCACTTCAAACTCGAGCAACATATGGCCGTGGGCCGACCACGGGGGAGGAGGACGAGGAGGAGGAGGAAGAGGAGGAGGAAGAAGAGGAGGAATAGGAGGAGGAGGAGGAGGAGGAGGGGGGGGAGGAGGAGGACGAGGATTAGTAGGAGGAGGAGGAGGAGAGGAGGAGGAGGAGGAGGAGGAGGAGGAGGAGGAGGAGGTGGAAAAGGAGTAGGAGGAGGAGGAGGAGGAGGAGGGGGAGGAGGAGGAGGAGGAGGAGGAGGAGGAGGAGGAGGAGGAGGAGGAGGAGGGGGAGGAGGAGGAGGTGGTGGTGGAGGAGGAGGAGGAGAAGGTGGGGGAGGAGAGTGGAGAATGAGGGGTAAGGTAGCTCGACGCGACTCTGCAGCCGCATTCGAGCAGACCTGCCCCTGCAGGTCAATCGGCACTGGGCTATCTGATCGTCCCTTGACAGGGGTCTGTTTGTCGCAATAATCTTTCAACAACGCATCACTGGCATACATACCCATGCGCACAGAAGGAGCAGGAGCAGGATGAGGATAATGACCTCCATGGCGGAGCAGGAGGAAGGACAATTATGTAGGCAGAGCGAGGAGGAACAGGACGAGGAAATGGGGGGGGGGGCATTATCAATCATGATGATCAGACGTGGGTCAGCTGTAGCTTTGAGCGCAGGTATGAAGACAGTTCACATGATGATGAAGGCGATTGGGCTGGTGGTGGCGATGACCCGGGTATCAGAGGGACCACTCTGTTTTAGTCACCTGACCCTGCATGCAGCTCTCGGCCCTTTTCCAGGACAGTTTATCATCCTGCATCAACTTTTCAAAGCCCCAGACTCGGAAGCGTCTTCCCGATGTCGAAGGTGGCGAAACCGCCAGAGCGTGTTTTCTCTACTCGCAAGGTGTCTGGGGAGGAGGCTTTGAGTAGCCAGGGGATAAGGATGAGGATGAGGATGAGAATGAGGGTGAGGCTAAGAATGATGATGCTGAGAATGATGCTGCTAACGATGATGATGATGAGGAGGCGGAGGACCAGGAGGTTCAGGAGAATCAGGAAACGGAGGGGAAGTTTGACTAAGAGGAAGCTGAGGAGGTGGAGGAGGATGACGATGATGATGGTGGTGATGATGATGCTGATGCTGATGATGCTGATGATACTGCTGACGCTGTTGATGATGATCATGATGGTAAAAATGATGATGCTGCTGCTGATGCTGGTGGTGTTGATGACGGTGATGCTGATGATGACGATGCTGATGAGGATGATCATGATTATGACCATGCTAATGACGACGATGATGCTGCTGATGATGACGATGGCGATGCTGATGACGACGATGACGATGCTGATGCTGATGATGATGGTGATGCTAATGTTGCTGATGCTGATTATGATGCTGATGATGCTAATGCTGACGCTGCTGATGGTGATGATGCTGATGATAAGGATGATGGAGATGGTGGTGATGATTAGGCTGATGATGTTTTTATGATGGGTGATGATGATGATGGTGATGCTGACGATGACGATGATTATGATGATGCTGACGACGATGCTGATGATTATGATGATGCCGACGATGATGATTATGATGATGATTGTGATGATGATGCAACTGGTGATGATGAGGGTGAGGATGATGATGATGATGATGATGATGATGATGATGATGATGATGATGATGATGATGACACTTATGTCGGTGCTGGTGATGATGATGATGATGATGATGAAGGGTGCTGCTGCTGATAATGATGCTAGTGGTCTTGATGATATGATGATGACGCTGATGATGTTGCTGATACGGGTGATGATGCTGATGATGATGATGGTAATGCTGATGCTGCTGATGATGCTGCTGATTATGATGGTAATGATGATGCTGATGATGATGATGATGATGATGATGATGATGATGCTGATGCTTATCAGGATGATGCTGCTGAGGATGATGATGATTCTGATGATGGTGATGCTGCTGATGATGATGACGATGCTGTTGATGATGGTGACGATGCTGGTGACAATGATGCTGATGGTGATGATGCTGCTGCTGATGATGATGCTGATGATGATGATGATGATGATGATGATGATGATGATGATGATGATGAGGGTAAGAGCCCGTTTCTTTATTGCTTGGGGCATGACGGGCGTCATGGCCCCCGCTCCCCCCCCGTATGACGTGACGCTCCCCCCCCCAGTGCGCTCCGGGCACTGCCGCCGTGCGCATTGGGATCCGCGTAGGTGTCCGCGTAGGAATCCGAATAGGTGTCTGGTCCGCAGGCGTCGTCGTCGTCGTCGTCGTCGTCGTCGTCGTCGTGGTCGTCCGTCGTCGTCGCTCGTGGTTCGTCGCTCGTCGCTCATCGTCGTCGTGCGCGCGGACGCTGCTGGAGCCTGTTTTTAGGTCCGGGCCGATGACGGCAATCATCTGGGGGGGAGGGGGTCGATGACGTCACGTTTCGCGCCGGCGGCGTCTGGGAATGCTTAGGAATGACGGAGGGCGGGTAGCACGAACATGTAGGTGGCGATCTGCACCATAACGACTGTGTACGTCACAGTGCCCGCGTGCACCACAGCGCCTGTGTACACCACACCGCCGATGTACACCACAGCAGCCGCGTGCAACACAGCGTCAGTTTGTGCCACCGTGCCTGCGGGCAGAGCAGCTCCTGTGTACACCACAGCGCCTCCGTACACCACATCAGCCGTGCGCAACACAGCACCAGTGTACACCACAATGCCTGCGTGCATTGCAGTGCCTGTGTACGCCACGGCGCCTGTGTGCACCACATCAGCCGTGTGCAACACAGCACCATTGTTGTGTATAGAATTTCAGAAGGGATCCTTGTGACAAAATGGAGCGCGTGTGGATTCCAGAGAAAACAATGGAAAACAAATCCTCATGGACGAAGGAGCGCCGCTGGAATCTACGAGTCCCCCCGAGTCCGCCCGCATCACCCTAACTCCCATTTGCGTCCAGGAGGCTCCAGCTAAACTGGCCGTCCGAGAACCAAGTGGACCGATTCAATCGACCATTCTGCGGTGCACGCTGAGATGCGCACGTGCGTTGTAACGCCAAGCCGCACGACAGGGGGTAAGAAGGAGGAAAAGGAGGAGGAGGAGGAGGAGGAGGAGGAGGAGGAGGAGGAGGAGGAGGGAGGAGGGAAAAACGTCGCATTCGATTCTCAGAACTTTCCTGGCGTGGCGTTTAGTTGTCCGCAGCAGATCCTGACGTACATGCTCCTTCTACCTGTCCTGTGCACGCAGGCGCTGTGGTGTACACCAGCGCTGCGTTGCACGCGGATGCTGTGGTGTAGACAGGCGCTGTGGCGTGCACAGGCGCTGCGGTGCACGCAAGCACTGTGGTGTACACAGGCGTTGTGTTGCACATGGCTGCTGCGGTGTATGTACACCGGCGCTGTAGTGCTCCCAAGTATTGTGGTATACACGGGCGGTGCGTTGCACACGGCTGTTGCGGTGTACGCAGGCGCTGTGGTGCACGCGCGGTGTGGTGCACGCGAGCGTTGTGGTGTACACAGGCGCAATGGGCAGATCGCCACTTACATGCTGCTCGCGTCGTCGTCGTCGCTCGTCGTTCGTCGCTCGTCGCGTCGTGCGCGCGGGCGCGGCTGTGGTGCCAGAGCCACACGGCGGGGGGGGGGGCGTCACGTCATACCCCCCCGCCCTCCCCCCCCCCATGACGCCCGTCATCGCCGAACATAAAGAAGCGCGCTCTAAGGATCATGATGGTGATGATGATGATGATGATGATGATGATGATGATGATGATGATGATGATGATGATGATGATGATGATGATGATGATGATGATGATCATGATGAGGATGAGGAGGAGGAGGAGGAGGAGGAGGAGGAGGAGGAGGAGAGGAGGAGGAGGAGGCAGGAGTTGAGGAGGAGGTTGAGGAGGAGGAGGAATATGAGGAGGACGCGGGCGAGGAGGAGGAGAAGGAGCAGGGGGAGAAGGAGGAGGCTGAGGAGAGTAGATGAGTAGGAGGAGGATGGGGAGAGTGCAGGAGGACTGTCCCCCCTGGCTCTGCCTCCGAGGTAAGAAGCGCAGCGATGGGCTCCGAAGCCCCCCCGACCATGCTCGGCAGCGCCCTTGGCGAGCGCAACAGTTCGGGTGCCCCCTGTGGCAAAGAAGCGCCGTGGGCGCTGCACTTGGTGGACCTCCTGCCTCCCCAGACCTCTTGCATCTCGAGAAAAACGCGCTCTGGCGGAGTTTTTGTGTGTTTCTCTTTTTGTTGTTCTTCTTTCCGTGGTGGTTCTGGTGGGTGGGTGGGGTGGGTGGGTGGGGTGGGTTTGGGTAGGGGTGGGGCAGGAAGGGGTGGCGGGTGGTGGTGGTGGTGGTGGCGAGGGGGGAGTTCGGCATCCAGATCCCGAGTCTGGGCCCAGGGACCACCAAACAACAAGCTGGGATGGACAATTGGCCCTGAGTAACAAGTCGAGATCTCCGGGGGCCAGCGACTCCAAAAGATCCCGTCGTCGAAGTCTGGGTCATGTCCCTCCCCCGCCTCCCCCCTGGGGAGAGGAAGAGGTCGATGACAGTCCAGGCGTGGTGCACACGAATATTGGTTGACTTGCGCTGTAGCTGACAGCAGGGTTACCGCGGGCACATTGGCATCGCTACTATCGGTGCCCGATGTTATCATCTATCAACTGGGTTATTCATTCCGAGTCGGCGCAGCGCTTCGCAGCAGGGGGGTCACGGATGATGAGGAAGAGGAGGAGGAGGAGGAGGCAGAGAAGGAATAGAAGGCGGGGGTGGGAGATGATGATCATGCTGATTGTGATGATGGTGATGATGCTGTTGATGAGCGTTATGATGATGATGCTGATGATACTGATGATGACGATGGTGATGATGATGCGAATGGTAATGATCATGATGCTGCTGCTGCTGACGATGATGATGATAATGATGGTGATGATGATGGTGGTTGTGTTGTTGTTGGTGGTGGTGATGGTGGTGGCGATGACGATTAGGGTGTAGATGCTGATGCTGGTGAGGAGGATAATGATGGTGATCGTAGTTTTGATGATGCTGGTGACGATGACGAATATCTGGTGCAGGCGGCGACGATACAGACGATTCTGACGACGATTGCGATGGCGATGGCGATGGCGATTGCGATGACGATGGCGATGGTGGTGTTGGTGATGATGATGACGATGACGGTATTTCTGATGCTGCTGCTGCTGCTGCTGATGTGGATGATGATGATGGTGATGGACATGTTGATGTTGATAATGATGATGATGGTGCGGATGATGATGACGATGACGTTGATGATGATGGTGCTGCTGATTACTAGGATGGTGTTGATGACGATGCTGATGACGATGCTAATGATGCCGATCAGGATGATGATGCGTATGATGATGCGAACGACGATGATGATGCTGATGCTACTGCTGCTGATGATGATGGCGCCCCCGCTCGTCCGAGGCTTCGGACAGAGGGCCCTGCGATGGCGGCGCTGCTCGGACGCGCCGCAGGCGTGCTCCAGCTGGAGCGCTAGGCATGGGGGACATCGGAGAATGTGCTGCTGAAGGAGCCGCTGCACGCCGCCGCCATTTACCTAGAGCCGTCGCTGATAAACTCACTGAGCTGCTGGAGGAGGCACTCGCGCATGGCCAGGAATACTCCCCGAGCGACATCGATCATATTCCTTGGCCTGATGAATCTGAAGTACCGACCCCCTCAGCAAGCGCAGAGACGCCAGATATTGTACTACAGCCAGCACCACCACCAGATATTGTACTACAGCCAGCCGATGCCGCACCTCCCCCACAGCCCCATCCTCAGCGACGCACCGAGGAGACGGACCAGCCACCGACCGACCCCATTGCACCGCAGCATGCCGTCAAGCCCGTGTCCATCGCCGGGTGGAACCCGTTCACGCTCAAGGGCTCGCCTGGCCGCCTCGACGACATCAGTGACACTTTCCGAAGATGCCAGGCGGTCATGCTCGTGGGCACTAAGATACGCCAACCTACTCCCGACACCCCGCATCATCATGAAACATCTGTTGCACATCATTGGATACATTTCGGATGGACACGCGGCGTACATACCAACGCTTCAGCAGGCTGCAGCATCGGCCTCGCGAAGAAGCAGTTTCGCAAGCAGGACATTTGCAAGATCATGCACCCTGGGCCAGCACTACGAGGACGGGGGGGCCTTGTTGAAGTTCACAGAGGAGGGCTACGAATACGATATATCGTGGCCTACTTTGCCCCCCGTCCCACAGGAGCCAAAATCAAATTATGGAAGGACGGATGTATGCAATTATGGTCTTGGCTCATCAAGGCGGTCACCGAGTGCCCAGCGAGAGCCGCCCCCATCATTTCCACGGACCCGAACCAAAGCCTAGGGGTGCAGGCAAAACGAACCACGGACGACGCAGCGGTGGGATCATATCAAGCTGGCGATGGAAGTGAGTTTGGCAGGCACGTACACAACCAGCTATTGTATCACGAACTTTCAGCGCTTAACTCCCACGCAGACGTCGGACACACATACTATGGCCCAAAAAAGTCCCGATCACGCATTGACTATTTCATTGGATATCACGACTCACACGAGATTATCCGAAGCATCAGATTGGATTGGCGGGCACGCAAACGAGTACGTGGTCTTGAGCACGTTCCCGACCATATCCCAATGGTCATGCGCATATGTTTGTCGATCAACACGTCGAACCCACTCGACTCACGAATAGTATGGGGCTGGGGCGCACTTGCAGCGGGACTACATCCGGGATATAAGCGAGAAGAATTTCTCACAGATCTCGCAGCGGACCTGGAACGGTATACGCAAGCTTTTGAGCCAACTACTACTCTCGTGAAGGGCTCCGACCGCACTGGCACAGGCAAGCTCAAAAGGACCGACTCCTACTACTACGCCATCGAGCGGGAGCCCGCGAACGTGGACATACATACAACTCACGGGTGCTATGCCATATGCAAGCTAGATTGCGAGAGCATCAGACATGGATGAATCACTGGTGGCAGGTTTCCTGGGGGAATGATATTCGGCAAGCATGGGCATCGCGTGATTTATCACGACTATCCCACTTAACTTATTTGCGAGCGGGCCGACGAGCGGGCCCGCGCCGACGTTCCTACCTTTCACTTCCCACGACGAGACCGTCGGCCAGCGAGTATGAGAAAGCACTGGCGGCAGAGGCAGCCGACGGGGGCATGGCAGCAATCGCGACATACGCGAGTCTCTACATCGACGACCCCACGGCGGTGCCGCGGATGTTGGAACAGATGGACAATGTGCAACCCGTGGGTGAATACATTGGCGCCCCGACCATCGAGGACCTCGAGGAAGCAAGTGCCGAACTGGAGCTGGTTCAGAAGCGCTTGTGGCGCGAGAAGAGGAGAAGGTACAACCCACCCTGGGCATGGCCTATCGAGTTGACGATAATGATGCTGACGCCGGAGTTTCTTACACGGCCTGGGCCTGATCGCACAGGGCTGGGTGGCAATCAACGCTTACAGATCCAACCATTGGCGACCAAGCTTCCTCGACCCGACCGACGGCGGCTCCAGCTAGATTCACGCATGTGTTACAACATTATCATGGCATTGGTTACTCTTTTTGCACATGTGCGACAAACGACGGAGTTGCCAGCTCTGGCGTACACCGGCCACGCCATTGCGATTGGAAAAAAGGGCAAGGTCCCCGCGGGACGGCCTATTGAAGATATTCATCAATGTGTACGGCTCCTTAATTGTTTCGATCACTTCTGGCGCCTGTACTTGCGAGTGGGACTGGTTTCATATGGGTCCTTGTTTGATGCGCCATCGTGGGCCTACGGAGGCATTCAATCCAGACGGCGCCAGTCTTTGATGCTGCTCGCGAAGCTGATGATCTGGAAATTGAGAGCGGCCAGTATTTCATTCCTGGCCAGAAGTTACGATATGCGCAACGCTTTCGCCACGGGTGACCACGTGCGTTTGATTGCAGCACGCGCGGTGCGCTGCGACGACGAACACTTCCATCCTCTATTGGAGCAACATCGTGAGCGCGCAGTCGTTTACATCCAGGCCTCTGATGCCACCCTAGCACTTCGGCCAGGCACAGGAGGGAGGATGGGAGATTCGAATGAGCCAGAGCTTTTCATGGGGTCATTTTACCCATTAGCGGGGGAGTGGGAGCAGGAGATGGCCGAGGTGCAAGGGCAGCCGTTTCAAGTGCAGTGTCCCTTCACCGAGCAGGTTTTCCCTGGGCGCATCGGCGCGTTCGTTGACGACTTATTTAAGATTCTCCTGGTCCCCGACGGGACCGCTTACCAGGCCAGACTGCTAGACGTGATTGACAACACGAGCTTATCACGAGCATTACGTCGTGGGGGATATGCGCAAACCATTAGCAAGCAAGACGCCCTCGTCAGCCTAGCCAGCAGAGCAGCCACAAAAGACTCCGAGCGAAATATATCTGGCAAAGCGGTCCAGGAACTCATACATCTGGGTGGGTATATAATGTAACATTACACTCACAGCGTGAACTGCACGAACGTTTCGTCTCGGGCAACATTGGGTGGACTCGACTGGGTGACTACTGGTTCTCTAAGGGGCCTTGGAAACAAAAAAGGTTATCGTTCCGGTCGAACGTCGCTGGCCGCGTCTGGTCTGGCCTCGAGAGCTACATCTTGCGCCCCCGTGAGGTACACCGACTAGACTGTACGCTAGCAAAAAAGCTACGGGCCATGTTGAAAGGAGCTGCGCATCGCGAAGACCCAGAGGGCCATCATCATTCCATGTCAACGCTCCAGGTCTTTCGTGAATGGCAGGTGGCGCCAACCGCCATCGAGCTTTCAGTGCGGCGTCTCAGTTGGTGGCAGAGCATTGTTGGTAACGTCGGCCACCACGGTCAGTTCCCCCCTGCTTTTTTTGGGAAGATGTGAGTTTGAGAAGCAGGCGGCCAAAAGCAACCGCCCCGTCTCAGTCTCGACCCTCAACGAGCAGGGCGAGATCGACGCACGCGCCCATCCTTGGGCGCGCCAGCTCTCGAGTGACCTCGGGTGCCTCATCTCACATTCGATTGGTGAATCATTGAGAGAGCTGTGGCAGCCGCAGACGATTGAAAAACTGTGGAGTGATGATCAGACTCGCGATGCATTTCTCCTCTATTGTGATGTACGAGCGCTTCGCGCAGGCTTCTGGACGTGCCAGTGGACCCCCACCCCCCCCCGAGGGAAACAGCATTCTTGAGGCCATCCCGTCCCAGACCCAGCAGACCGAGACCGACAGCGATGCCGAGTGCGTTCGGCCCTTTCGATGCGGGCCCCCTGGATGCGATGTACGGTTTGGGTCCATACGACAGCTTGTAAACCATCAAACAAAAAGCAAAGCTGAAGGACACGGGCAGCCTCAACTACTAACCACTCTACAGTATGACAACACATGCATGGTATGCGATACCACATTTCCTAACGTAGACCACGCTGTGCGACATTTACGACGAGCATGGATACAAGGTAGGTGTATTGCGAAACCCACACATCATAGTTACCCATGGATACCCTCATCATGTGCAACATGCCCATTATCGGAAAAAGCAAGTGGAACTTGCATGTACACTCGAATTTCATGACCCTGTTAAGCTACGCCAACATTTACGCACCCGGCGTCCCTCCGTCGCCATCGGCCCCCCTGCTCAAGAAGGCATCGCGCAGAGAGGTGGAGATCACAACCGCCCAACATCCGCGTGGGCCTCTCGCTGTGCCGCCTCCTCCCCGTCTTTCACGGACAGTGCAGGTGCAGGGCGCACTGGCGGCCAGGCGCGAACTGCGACGGGCCGCGGATCGACTGCTACTCGCACCGCGAGAGAAGGCCCCCGCGCGAAGGAGACCGCCCAGTGCTGGACTCTCGAGCTCCCATATCATAGCAGGTATTTCGACGTCCACCGCTTTGACGCGGACCAGATTTGCAGCATCGACCCCGACATTTCCGCCACCGCCAGCTGCACCTCCGCCTCTTGAGCCTGAGGATGACCGAGAACGAGTTGCCGCCAGCGAAGGCCCCTGCAGCCCCTGCGCGAGCAGCGTGGCGCCACCCCCTGGGCTCCTCCCAGGGCTCGCGAGGATCTGGGCAAGACTCGGCAGCAAAGGCAGCGGGGGCCCCACCATCGGTCAAGCCACGACTTCAGCGACCACCGCCGCGGCGAGGAGCAGCGGAGGCAGACTCGGAGGTCGAGGGCGCGGCCGTGGCGGGCGAGGGCGAGGACGAGGGGATGCGCAGGAAGTCGAGACGCCGAGGAGGGCGTCGCACTCGCCGCGGCGAGCATCAGATCCAGGCGTGGAACAGCAAGGGCAGAAATCTATTAGCACTCCTCCAGGCGACGCTCAAGCTTGTTCTCCAGACGGCCCACAGGAACCGCTTGGCCTCTTCAGTCGCGATAGACACCTACACGATGCCGTCCAAGCACGTGATGATCAGCCACGTCAGCGCCGAGCTGGAGGGGCACGAGCGCCTGCTCGACTCCCTGCGGACGCAGGGCGCGGAGGGCAAGGCGAGGTTGAAGCAGATCGGCTCCCCCGCGGCCAGCCTGGCGCTGGCAGCCCTGGAGGGCCTCGTGGAGCGCGACATAGGCGGCGGCATCAAGAACGAGATACGGACCTACTTGCACAAGTCCACAAACTGCTTGAGCGACAGGATGACAGCCTCGATGGAGGAGTCCTTCTCGCTCGGCGGGAGCGGCTCTCAGTCGAGCAGCGCCTTCAACGGGCCCAAACAAATGAGGATGCCCATGCGACAACTGGCATGATCACGATGTGCACTGGTTGTGATCCATCCGCTTTTGGATGCAACTCGTGGCTGACGAGTCCACCGCGTAGGCTGGAGGCCGTGCAACCGGCTAAGAAGCCGGCGTTCTTCGCCCATCCCACTGCATTCGCTCCATAGGTGCCGGGCACTCGGGTGGGGCGCTCCGCATAGCGCACACCTGGTGTTCTGGCTGATGCGGGTCTGGGTGCGAGTGGCTCCGCACCGGAAGATGTTCAGAGCCTGCTTCTCGGCGGCCGGCAGGCTCTCCGAGAACTTCTTCCACCGGGGGTCGCTGGGGGCCTCCACGTCGACCTTCTCCGCGCCCTCCACGTCGTTGCGGCTGGGGGCGCACTGCTGCAGACAGCGAATGCGGCGCACCAGCCTCGCGCAATGCTGCGCTTCTTCGGACCGCGTCCAGAAATAGGAGCGCCCCTGGCGCACCCTGTCTGTGACCTTCTGAACTCGCGGGTCGTCCCCCGGGAGCACCTCCAGGCACGGGCCAAAGCAATGGTCGTAGTCTCGAAAGCCGAGCCCCAGCCGATCCGCGGCGGTACGTATCTGCGTCTCCACATGGGGACTCCAACAGAATTCAGGATCAAGAACAACCTTGAGTCCGCGAAGAATTGACCCGTAGAGCGGGTGTAGGTAGAGGGCGCGGAGGCGGAGCCCGACATCGACAAATCGGACCTGGAGGTCGCCGTCAGCTTCATTCGCCTGGAGAGCTGCTACGACACGCAGAAGGTGAAGGTCATCGTGGGCGCCCCCAGCTGGGAGGGGCGCGCTCGAATCCAGAGGGCGCTGAAG